CCAAATGCAAGTTACCTGCATAGCAGAGAAAGATCCTGGCATTGGATTTTCCTGAAGACCAGCATTCTGCCCTCCCTGTGTGAGCTGGCTTTACGCACTGTTTGGATAAATAATTCTCAGTGGAGAAGAACAGAAAGAAATCTGCTCCTGCAGTCATCGAGTTTGAATGTAGAAGTGCAATGCCTACCCCCAGCCACTGCAGTCCATGTTTTCAGCCCCAGGCGGGTTCTGACTCTCAGTCTCTCCCAAATCTTATGTTTACAAAGCTACCCAAGGTTTTCTTCTCAAAGAGGTATTGGAAGGTGATTCAAGCAGCCTGGAATTGTGTATATCTGTTTCATTATTTCTCAACCTTTCTGTCATATAATCAGAGTTTAGGCTTGATTAAAAAAAAAAATAAAATCTCGAGATTCTTCCTTGGATATTGGCATGTCTTTTTCTTCAGCAACATAAATCAAACACTTTTCCCTTCTTTACTTTTCCCACTAATTTTCAGAGGGCAGGCTTTAATCTGAGCCCATGCTGTCCTGTTCTTTTTTTCATTTAGGACTCCTTGGAAGGTTCTCTCGGAGTTTTAATCAAGCAATACTGTTTCATGCCCTCAGCAGCCTGGCTGTGTTTAATACAGAAAGATAAACAATGAATTAGTAGCACTTTCTCAATGTCTTCCCACCTTCTCCTGTTTTTAAAGTGGGGAACATCTTTACGTGGGTTTTGCCTGACGCAGTTTGGGAGCGAATCTGATTAATATAACTCAGGGACCCAAATTTTGTTTGGAATGGTTACCCAAAAGAAAAGAGATTGCATGGGGCATAGATAGTCCCTGATAGGTAAAGTTCAGTCTGGTTTGCCAAGAACTATTGTCAGTAGCTAAGGAGATAGGTTTGGCAGCAAGAAGGTGTATCATCTTGGATCTAGACCAGCAACCCGGTCTAGTGGAAGCTGTCCCAGCCCATGGCAGGGAGGTTGGAACTGGGTGATATTTAAGGTCCCTTCCAACCAAACCGTTCTATGATCTTGGAAGAAAAAAACTTCCATACTGTGCCCCTTTTACTGCACCACACAGCGCTACTCACCAACGGGCCGGGTGCCTCCCCGCATCTCCATGCCTCCTGCCTCCGGAGCTGGTACACGGACCATGGCTGAGGGTCCTTGTACAGAAAGCAGTATTAGGAGACCAGCTTTAGTTACATGACCGTATGCTGTGTTATCCACAGGAGTCCATGAATTAATTGGTGTACTTTAAAGTGCTGCTATCAAATTGGTAAGCCAGGGTTGGGGAGTAATCTGTAAAGCCTAATGGATAAGTAGGCAAAGGGTGCTGTGAGTGGTATTTCCAAATAACAACTATCACTGCTGGAAGCTAATGGTGTGCTGCCTGTGCTCTGAAAACAATGGATAATTTATTTACTATGTAAAACTTACCTTGCTCTTTGGCCTCTCTGCTCTGTTTTCTTTGCTGGGTGTGTGAGTCAATCAGTGTGGATCAATTCACTACTACGAAGATCAGAGAAACCCACTGGAAGGTCTTCAGTGGCAACTCGTTCGTACGCAGTGCCAGGGCCCATGGGCACTAATAGCATTTAACAACCCCATCCAGCCCCATTTGAGACCCCCACCCTTCCCAAGGCCAGCAGTCCCATTTAAGCTTGGGCCTAGGGCTGCTTATGGCTCCTGTTGACCCTGTCTTGCGTATCCTCTCCTTGCATCGTACCACAGGTTGGGACCATGGCATGGCACTTGCTCCCCATCCTCTTGGGAGCAGGTGGCCCTTGCTGCACCAGGAACCAGGACATGCAATGGAGAATGGCACTGTGCTTGCGCAAGGATTTGGTCTCGCTTCTTTGAGACAAATCTGTTGGTTTGGGCTGTGCATTGCAGGTTTAGCAATAAATGGTAGTTAGTGTATGTTAATGTACGCATTTTCACTGTCTGCCGTTTAATTATTGTGTGTAGGCTGTAACTGGCTCCTCCCTTTTAAAAGCTTACTGTGTGCAGCATTGGCTCAGCAGAGCATTTCCTCCCAAGGATGGACATGTGAAATGGTGCACACAGAAGAGTCTCCTCACAGCCTCATCCAAGTCCTGGAAAGCTTCTGCAGATTAGGCATGGACCCTCTGCTCAGCATGACACCCCGAAACGCTCAAGCCACACACAGCTTCCTTGGGTGAAAGATGTCCTCACAGATGGGATCAGGTCCCTGGACAAGCAGTGTGGCTCACATCCCACGCTCAGGAGAGGCTCCAGGAGTTACTCCGCATCATCCCACCGGTTCCTCTGCAGTTGCAGCCCAGCAAAGCACTAGCAAAAACCTGGCAGATGCAAGTTTTCCTCCTGCTTTGTGTGCATTTAATTAGGAGGTCCTTGAAAACTGCAGACTTGCTGTACAATTTTCAAAAGAGGCCTTTCAATAAGGCCTGGCTGAATAATGCCACATTCACATCTCTTCACCTAAGACTCAGTGTGTCTAGCCACACAGCCAGGCTGATTCACCGACAGTCTCTGGGCTGGGAGTTAAACTTTAATATGAACCAGGGGAGAAGAACCTAGACGTGACTCAGCCACCCATGTCCTTCCCCTTCCCCTCCCCGCTGGCGAGGGCAGCGCAGCAGGACAGGGAGCGGGGATGTAGCCACAAGAATCAGCGACCCAGGGGCTGCCCCAGCAATGGATCCTGGTGACCCACGGGAGAAAAAAGTCGCCATTGTCGGTGGTGGTCTGGTAGGAAATGCAATTTAGCTGTTTGCTATGGATTTGGAGCTGTAAGAGCATTGCTTGGATGTGGAGTGAATGTTTTTCTTAAAATCATCCCTTCTTCAGATGATGGGATGTTATAGAGGAGTTGGTTGAGTTCCCACTGTGGGAGGCAGTGAGGCTCATTTGAGCAGCTAGGACTTTTTAAGAGGAGAAGGGCTCTTTCGCTTGAGTGAAAGCTTTGCTGCTGAGATATCCCAGAGACACAATGTGCGTCGTGGTTGGAACTTGCCTTGAACGGTATGTGCAAATAAATCCTGCCGCCGAGAGCCCTTTTCTCAGAGGAAGGGGTTTGGGAGGTG